AAAAAAAAAAAAAAAAAAAGAATGAAACAAATGTACTAAGAATAGAACTAAATGAATATGGGATATTGAATAATAGTGTTGAAATGATTAGTCTCGTATTATAAAGTAATTTATGAAAAAATCTATGAATTTGTAGACTATTTATAGTAATTTTTAGAAGTAACTGTAGGAATTCACAGTGTCTCAAATTAAATAATAATTTTATGAAGAATCTATCTTTTGTTGGAAAAGTGTCTCATATTAAATAATAATTCTATTAAGAATCTATCTTTTGTTGGAAAAATTTTCACATGTAATGCTTATTACACCACATTTTTTAGTCACAAAAAAACGATGGATCAAAAGAAGCGCCTTTTGCAGATAAAGCCGAAAAGGGTACAATAACTAACACAAAGAGCAGCACAGTATTATATGAAAGCAAAAATTCAATTTTAGTCATTTAAATTGGCCATTGTCCCGTTTTTGTCCGCCAACTTATAATCCATTATGTTACAATTTCGTCAATTTTAGTACAATAATTCTGAAATGCAAGATTACGTGATGACATGAACAAGGATTGAAACGACGTGGATGGATAGAATTTTGACATGGAATGATTACAATTTTTCACGCCATTACATAATCCGGGCCCCTGTACTAAAATTGACGAAAATTGTAACATAGTTGACTATTTTTTATGAGAGGAAAATCGGTGTAACAAAACTGAAGAATGTCCAACTTGGAGGACCAAAATTGTATTTTTGCCTTATATGAAATGCCAAAGTACAATAAAAACTGCAATGTTTTCCGAAAAGGATTAATATTGATAGAAAAATGAAAAAAAAAAAAAATCAAGTGTACCTTTCATTCTGTGGATGCGCCTTTTGATTTCTTGAGCACAGGCATCACAATGCATGTAAACTCCCAACACCACAGTAATTAGGGTTGGCTGCAGTTACAATCACAACCTCTTATTAAGGAATAATAGCAGCAGTAACAATAATTACTACTTTAAATACAATACCGACAACCATATTCATCAAACCACATCGGGATATATACTAGTATTCGGTCGAGTGCATTTGCACAGATATAAATAAAGTATTATAAGTTATTTATATGCATATATATAACATTAAAATTGTAAGTTAGATAATGGTATTATATTTTAAACATAGAGTATTATAATTTATATTTATGCATATACATATTAAAATTATAAGTTAGATGATAGTATTATATTTTAAAATCCGATCATTTGTTAAATAAATAGTACTCCCTCCTATTTTCATTATTTGTCGTTTTGAGAAGCAACATGCTAATTAAAACAAAAATTTTACCAATATTAATCCTATTTAATGGATGCTATGGGAAACTATGGAGATAGGATATGAAGAGACACTGTGCATTGATGAAAGGTTAAAAATAGAAAAATATGAACAAAATAGTTAAAACTGTTTAATCAATGATCCATTAAGCCAAAATGACAAATAATAAAAATAGGATGGAGTACATAACAATTTGATTTCATATTATAATCAACAATATAATTTTTGTAATTTTGAGGTACGGACGGATCTAGGAATTTCACTCAGGGGGCTCGATTTTAAATATTATAGAGAGCTTGTAGCTGAAGTTGAAATTCTCATTTCATAAAAAAATTGTATTTATTATCAATAAATATCGATATGTGTACCATCAAGTTTTTAAAAATTTATAAAATCCGTATCACCCTCAAACTTTAAATAAAATAATCAAAAAATTGAGATTCCATGTATTTATAATTTATGAAGAAAAAAACATTTGCAGCACATTGTAGTTACCAAATGAACATTTTTTAAGAAAAAAAAAAAAGAAATACTTTTGCAGCACATTGCATAAAGAGCTTATCAAATGAATAATTTTAAGAAGATAAATAAATTTAAAAATATGTGATTACATAAAAAATTGAAAAATCAACATTAAAAAATGTAACAATATAACTAAATACTAGATTTTATAAATCACTAAATCAATTTACAGTTAAGAGATCGAAATAGTAAATGATTATAAATATTTTCAATAATTGATCTGAAAATGTAAAATATAACGACAGTTAGTAGATATCTTAAATAAATAATATTATTAATTTAAATTAAAATAGCATAAAAAAATTATTATTATTATTATATTGTAAACATTTTGAACATTTTTATACATTTTTAACATATTTTATAGTATTATATTATATGTATTTAGGAAAAAAAATCAGGGGGCCCACGTGCCCCCTGGGCCCAATACACATCTGTCACTGCTTTGAGGGATCATGACCAACTAATTAGCTGAAAATATTAAATTTATTATAAATATTAAATCATTATAACAATTGCTTATGCAACTATAAGGAATTTTACTATGACGTTAAGACAAATTAATTTATTTAAAAAAATCGCTTAATCAAATAAATAATTTAATATTAATTTTAGAATAAATAACATGAACAAAAGAAATTTACAATATGATTTTTTTATGTTTATGTAACTTTCATGTATAATTTACTGTATAATATAATATTAATTTGAATAAAAACCATTATATGTACAAAAAAATATAATTATTATTTAACTACTATAAATATGACAATTATTGTCTTAATTAACAAAAAATAAAATTGCAAGAAAATATTTCATCATTAATTGATAGGGTGGATTAACAAAATAATAAAAATAAAATGGATAGCAACAGTTATTGGAGAGAAAATGCCTCATAGATCAAATTTATTAGGTTTTATTTAATGATTTACCGACAATCATATAT